CCGGGCGGGAGAGGGGAGAACAAGGGAATCTGTGGCTGATATGTAAAATTAAATTAAATTATAAAATTAAATTTTAAAAAAAAGAAAGAAAGCGGAAGCCAGATAGAAAAGTTTACTTTTCAAACACAAATGTTCATTGACATAAGAACGTTACATTGTTTCACGTTAAGTGTTTTCATTCTCCTTTTCAGATTTTTCTGCAGATTTCTTACAAGTGAAAATGCCTTTTACTATTAAAAAAAAAAAAAGGAAATCAAGCAAAATTAGCAAGAAACTAACGGATAATTATTAATAATTTATTCCTATATATTATAGTTGCTAATTATGAAACCAGTGTAAGCAAGAACACCTAGAAGAAAATGCACTGAAGCAACCTCAAGGTCAAATGGAGGCACGTTGTGTTTTGGTGCTTGGGACTGGGTCCCGCCGTGCAGTCCTGCCCGCTCCGGAACACTGCTGCTGTGTCTGCCATACCATCCCCAAACCCATCCAGACTGCTTCTTCCCCCTGGATGCTAGAACCGAGGGCCTGCGCCACCGTGTGTCCGGCAGAATGTTTTTCTTTATGTTGCTTCTCTGTGGATCCAAGTTTCTTACAATAATATGTATTGCTCATTTTTGCATTTTTATGATTGTGTTTTTCATTATTTAAAACAATTTTCAAATTCAAACATATTTTGATCATATTCTTCCCCTCCCCAAGTCCCTCCAGATCCTGTCCCCCTCCCTACCCACCCAACTTTAAGTTCCTTCTCAAAAAGCAAACAGAAACTCAATACAAAAAAAACCCCTCAAAACCAAGAAAACAGAATAAAATCACATCCAAAAAACAAAACAAAACAAAACACCAAAATGTAACCAAATGAAAGTGTGCACATGTACACACATACACACACACACACACACACACACACACACACACACACACACACCAGTTCCTCTGTGCGTATATATGTGGCTTACAATTTAGTGTTTTTGTGGAACTCCTGAGCATGGGAACAAGTGGGTCTCTGAATCTTTTGTCTCCTCTGGGGCTCTTTTTTTTCTGTTGGTTTGTCTTGCCCAACTTTTATGTGATAGTTTTTGCTTTATCTTATATTGTGTTTTGCTGTATTTTAAAAAAAAATGAATGAATGAATGTATTGTCCTTTTTAATATGAAACTATGAAATGTGTCATGAATTTACACTCTGCCTGCCTCCTCCTTTTCTGTGGGGTTCCCAGCTCTGAGGGGAGGGATTGGATAGAGACATCCCACATAGGGATGAAGACTCCAGATTCTTCCATTCCCTGCACACTGTCTGGCTCTGGGGCTCTGTGTCTGTTCCCAACTGCGGTAGGAGGAAGCTTCTCTGATGGTAGCTGAACAAGGCATTGATTTATGCATACAGCAGAACATCATTGGGAGTCATTTTATTTTTTCTTTCTTAGACAAGTACTGTTTGATTTTTCCTTAAGTCCCTGGGATTCTTAGTCTCAGGTTTTTGGTCACCCAAGCAGTGTCAGGTGTGGGTTCCATCTCATGGAGTGGGCCTTAAGTCAGATCAGATATTGGTTGGTTATACCCACTTGTGCAGGGGCCATGTTAATTAATTTTCTCTATCATTCCAAATTTTATATATGTGCTGATTAAGCCAGCACAAGGATATAATATATATATATATATATATATATGTGTGTGTGTGTGTGTGTGTGTATCACATGTGTGTATGTTGTGTTATGTGATATTTTAATCACATTCTGATGCTCCTGAGACTGCCAATAAAGTTTGTTTTGAATCAGAGGGTGGGGCTAGCTACTAGGTGACCAAATTAATCATAGAGGTTTTGGAGGACTAAGGACAGGTAGACACATAAAGTAGCAGGCAGGGCTTAGAAATGGTCTTGGCCTTTTTGGGATAGAGGAACATGAGAGAGAGAGAGAGAGAGAGAGAGAGAGAGAGAGAGAGAGAGAGAGAGAGAGAGAGATCAAAGGTCAATTCTCCACTTCTCAGATTATTCAGGCTCTTACCCCGATATCTGACTCCTAACTTTTCATTGATAAAGAATTATTATATAAATGCTTCGTGTGTGTGTGTGTGTGTGTGTGTGTGTGTGTGTGTGTGTGTGTGTGTGTGTGTGTGTGTTTAAAAGCCAGGTGTAGTATTAGAGAACTATAACCTCAGTCATAGAAGTTTGAAAATGTTGGATTATTAATTAAAGATCAAATCTGGACTATAAAATGAGACTTTCTTTTATTTGAAAAGAAAGAAAAAGAAAGGAAGGAAGGAGAGAGGGAAGAAGGGAGGGAGGAAGAAAGGAAGGGAGGGAGGGAGGGAGGGAGGAAGGAAGGAAGGAAGGAAGGAAGGAAGGAAGGAATGGAGGGGAGAAAATCAGGAAGAAAGGAAGAGAAACTGTAAATGACCTAAAGCACACTTCTCTGGCTGGATGGCAGAACACAGGAGTTCAAAGGCAGCCTGACTCTCCCCCAGCCTCCCATTCCATGACGTCACTTCCTCCCCTGAAGCTCAGTCTTTGTCAGTAACACAGACAGACATTGCCTTCTTTAATGAGGAACCTGGTGCTAGCCAGCCACCTCCTCAAAATCATCACAGACTTAAGTCACCAGTACAGGGCAAGACCACAGAAGCCTTGAATTTCACCCCTTTCTGAGGACAGTGCCTTCAGACCTGCTGAGTGGATAGCAGAGTTACTCTGCTGATTTCCTTTAAACCTCAGAGCACATGTAAAGTCACAATGCTAACACATCTGGAACTACGGTGATAGCATCTCTTGATCCCCGTGGTGCCCTCAACACCAAAAAAAGCATTCCCTCTAAGTGTGGACCACAGATACGGAATGGAGACAGCTGCAGGCAACTATCTGAGGGAAACTGTGTAGGCAACATTCACCTGCTACTTGATACCACCTGAAAAAACTCAGCCCTCTGTATTTTCCCATGGTACCCAAAGGAACATCAAATCTTTGGCCCTCAAGTAACATACATAGAGCGAATAACCTTTAAACATGGGAATTAAGCCAGCATAGTGACAGGCTTATCACAGGAAGCAATTCTAGATCTCTTTCATCAAGTGTTTGCAAAACAGTGACCTCTTTTAATCCTCACAAGGCAAGCTCCAGCTCTCTCCATAGCAACTCAAGTATTCAGCTAGGAGGAACCTGCTCGGTCACAGCAGGAAATTGTGAGATAGTGTCCACTAGTAACCTTACTTCGAAGGACGATTTAGAACCAAAGGCTTAACAACAGCATGATGCAACCAGGCATGATGGTGTGCAGCCATAAACCCCAGCGCTTCAGAGACTGAGGCAGGAGAATTGCATATAAGATCAAGGGCAACTTGGACTATATATAAGTACCAGGCCAGCCAAGACTGCAAGAGACTATCTCAAAATAGTAACTAAATAAGTAAATAAATAACTATTTTCTACATAACATTGTAGCTAGAGTTTTCCTGCCTTGCCCACAGTTAGGACAAATCTCTGTCACCTGCCAGTCCCACAGCCGCTCAGACCCAACCAAGTAAACACAGAGACTTATATTGCTTACAAACTGTATGGCCATGGCAGGCTTCTTGCTAACTATTCTTATATCTTAAATTAACCCATTTCCATAAATCTATACCTTGCCACATGGCTCATGGCTTACCGGCATCTTCACATGCTGCTTGTCATGGCGGTGGCGGCTGGCAGTGTCTCCTCCCACCTTCCTGTTCTCTCAATTCTCCTCTCTGTTAGTCCCGCCTATACTTCCTGCCTGGCCACTGGCCAATCAGTGTTTTATTTATTGACCAATCAGAGCAACAGATTTGACATACAGACCATCCCCCAGCATAACATGGCAAAATTTCTGGTACTCATCTTGATATTCCTGTCCTTACCCCCTCTTGTATCTTTTCATTTCAATGTTGTCCTTTAAATTATAAAATAATCCCATCACTGTCTAGAACATTGGGGATCTCAAATGCAGGGGCTGAGGGGAGGGAATCACAGAATCTCACACCATAGTACAAGTTTAACTTTTGCATACAGTATGGTTGACAGACCACTGGGACTTTTTCATGTGAAATCTTTATTTTATGTGTATGTGTCCATGTATGTGCAGGTGCATGCACTCAGGATTCTGCATGCCAAGACCAGACGAGGATGACACCAGACATCTCCCTCCATCTCTCTCTCCACCTTATGTTTTATATAGCGTCTCACTGAGCTTGAAGCTCGCTCTGCATTTCAGCTAGGCTGGCTCCAGCAAGCTCCTAGTGTCTGCCTGTCTCTGCTCCACGACTCTGAGTTCACTGACGTGTGCAGCCGTGCCCAGCCTTTACATGAAAGCTTGATTTGAGTTTAGATTATCTTGCTTTCACAGCAAGCACTCTTACCCAGTCAGACATGTCTCTAGCTCCAGGTATGAAATTTTTGGAAGAAATTGCACTTCGTGGAAATGGCTCATTACGCAAAATTTGCCCCTTCTCCAAACACACTTACTTCACTCAAATACAGATGAAATGATAAAGCAGAGAGAACTTTCTTAAAGTATGAAGAAATCAAAGTAAAAAAAAAAAAAAGGAGACCCTCCCAACTTCAAATGAATTATTATCTTTTTCCTGTAAGCAGCTAAGATGTAAAGAGCCAAGTGCAAACTCCTAAGTCTGAAAACAGAGAAGAAACATTGCCTGTTCCAGGGCTAAGGGAATGGATCCCCCAAGTTTGCAGGAGAAAGCAGAGGATACTCATATCTGTGAAAGACTCCTGTAAAATTAACTGTCCAGGTATATCCCGTCTTACACACACACACACACACACACACACACACACACACACACACACACACACTTATTTACTTAGTAACAGTAGATATAATCCCTTTTTCCAATTTACAGATGAGAAAAATTATGTAGAAAGAGCGTTGTGGAAATGAAATGGGCAAGCTCAGAACAACCAAGGGTAGCTAGCTCTCCCCCCCCTTTTCTTTCTTTCTCTCTCTCCCCACTCCCCCATCTCCTCTCTCTGTCTCTCTTCTCTATCTCTCATTTTTTAAAGTTACACCACATCTTTTGTTTTCTCAACTATGAACCACTAGAATAATGTTGATCTGCCACTGGCCTGGGAGCGTTTGCACAACTCTGGCTCAGTGAGGTAAAAGGTAACTAAAGTACATCACCTTCCCTGGACCTGCAGGCTTCTAACTTGGCTCCATCCATATCTCAGATTCCCAGGCCTGGTTTAGTTCATATCTGTATGTGTAGATATGGTGATATAATAATACCCTGTTCCCAAGTAACAAATATTTTCCTTGGCTGAATAGAGATTTATGCAGTTTTTAAAGTTTTTGAGAGATTGGGCTTGTCTTTGTTTTGTTTGAAAAAGTGCTTTTTTTTCCCACATTTGTTTATTTTGTGTAGTTGTAGAGATTAGAGAACAACTTCCAGAAGTCGGTTCTCTCCTTCCCCCATGTGGGTCCCAGGAATCAAATTCAAGCTTGGTGGCAGGCGCCTTTATCTACTGAGCAATCTCACTGTCAGAGTTTAATGTTTAAGAGAAATGTTTTCAAACATGGCATGCCAACTTTGTTAGTTAAAAGCCAAAGTTCCAGGAGAGTCAAATGCAAGTCAAACGGACACCTCTCTTTGATGCCTTTCACAAGTGGGTGGCTCATGATGCCCTCCACTCCTACGGCCCCAGGCTTCTTCTCGAGGCAGGCCCAGGCCCTCGTGGCCATTTTGATTTCTATGTTACATTTAGTATCCGCCTGTCTTCGGAGGCTTTGCATCTCTTGTGGCTCTCCTCCCCATCGGAGCAATGAAGGAAACTTGTTCTGCATTCCGCTCTCCGGTCACCTCTGTGGAAAAGACGGCCATGGCCAGTGCTCTCAGCCGAGGGACAGTGAGTCAAACCACACTGCCCTGTGGCTGGAAGAGCTCTCAAATCATTCCCAACCTCCATACAGCTCTCGGTCCCTCTCCACCTCCCATGTGATCGATGGCATTCACAGCTTCTGCTTCCCACAACCTTCATGAAGGCTCTGGCCTCTGTTCTGCCGGTGGAGCATTAGTGGGTAGGCATAGCCAAAGACAGGAAAGTCAATGAATGATTGGGATTACTTCATTTTTGCCACCAAGTTAAGACACGTCTAGGATAGCCTGCTGAGTGGGAGAACCCTAAAATGATACAGGATGGCTCCTAGCTCACCCACTTTTTGGAAGTCAGCCCAGATCCCAGCAGCTGAACCCCTGCAGACTCACAAGAACTACATTCTATTGTGTGGCACTGAGATTTTGCAATTTGATTTCATATATATATATATATATATATATATATATATATATATATATATACCTTTGTCCCACTGCCTCCCTTATCTATTGCTATTAAAAAATAAATAAATAAATAAAAGCTTCCCAAGAACCCAAAGTGTAAAATGGCAAACGTTTATTATCTTATAATGTCTGTGGATGGGATTTTTTTTTTCTGTTTTCTGAGGTATGATCTTATTATGGCCTCAAACTTAACAAGTAGGCTGGGATACTCTGGAACTTACAGTTCTCCTAACTTAACCTCCAGAGTGCTGAGACAGCAAGCACGGGTCATTACACTCAGCTGAGAAATCAGAAGAGCCCTGCCTAGGTGTTGCTGGCTCAGAATCTGTCACATGGTTACAGTAGGCTATTGGCAGGGGCTACAATCACCCAAGGTCTGATTAAGGGATCCAGGCAGAAGGCTGGCTCCCAGAATGGCTAGCTCACAGGCTTACAAGAGGGTGCCTCATGTGCCCTGTGAGCAGGATGCCTCCGGGCCTTACCATGAGGACTTCTCCGGAGCCCACCCCAGTAACCTCACAGAATGACAGCTTGCTTTCCTCTGAGAAGAGGAACAGACCTGACTCCAAGGGCTAGTCTCCCAAACCACATGCCATTCATTCATCGCTCTGTCTTATCAGATTCGTTAGAAAAGGTCCAAGAACTCATCACATATTCAAAGGCAGGAGAAGCAGGCCCCTTTCTAAGGGAGGCTGAGCTGAGATTGTGGGCATGCTTTACTCCGACACAGAATGCCGCCCAGCCGTATGTTATACACATCTAGCCATGGACTGTCTACATCCCTTTACCTGTATGGGAGTACACCAGTTCCTGCACACACTCATTTATTCCCAAGGATTCCAAAGCTCATCTCTTTCTTTCACCACTTCAGAGTCCAGAATCCACCATCTCCATCAGCTCCAGGCGCACTTCAGTTGTTGTATCTGAAATAGAGTTTTTAACCTTGTGAACCTGGCCACTGAAAGAGCCAGCCACTCACTCCTCCCCCCTCCCACCATGCAGTGGTATGAAAAACACAGGAGCCAAGGGCCAATGATTGCAATGCTGTCCAGTGCATGTTGCCATTTTTCTCATCAAGTATCCAGGAGCGGTAGTGTTGCTGTTGTGCAATAGACACACAGAGTCCTACCTGGAAATGTAAATGTTATCTGTAATGAAAGCACAAGATGACCAAGAAGAAAATAATCAAGAGGCTTGGAGAAATGCCTCGGCAGTTAAGAACATTTGTTGCTCTTGCAGAGGACCCAGCTTCAAGTCCCAGCATCCACCCCTTAGGTCAGTGATTCTGAACGTGTGGTTCATGACCCCTTTGGGGGTTGAACAATCCTTTTACAGGGATTGTCTAAGACCATCCTGTATATCAGATATTTACATTGTGGTTCATAACAGTATCAAAATTGCAGTTATGAAGTAGCAATGAAAATAATTTTATGGTTGGGAGTCACTACAACATCAACTGTATTAAAGGGTATTATTATTAAATGTATTATGAAAACTTCATTAGGAAGGTTGAGAAGCACTAACCTAAAAGCTTTCAGTCCCAGCATCTACCTGGAGGCTCACAACCATCTGGAACTCCAGTTCCAGGAGATCTAACACCCTCTTCTGACTTCCATGGCTGCCAGGCATGTACATGTAGGCAACACTCATACATTTTTAAAAAAGAAAGATTGCTTTAAAAAAGAAGAAAGGGGAGCAAAAGTAAAAAGAGAGAGTTTTGCCTTGTTTTGTTTTTTATTTACAAAGCAAAGGAAAAATAGCTTATTGAAGAAAAGAGAAAGACGGGAAAGAAAGAAAGAGAAAGAGAGGGAAAGAGGGAGGGAAGAGGGAGGGAGGGAGAAAGGGAGGGAGGGAGGGAAAAGAAGGAGAAAGGATGGAGGAAGAGGAGAGAAAGAGGGAGGAAGGGACAGATTAAACATTCT